CCTCGCCGCCCTCATCTGCGGCCCTCCCGCTGTCACCTGCGGCCACACGCCGCCCTCTGCTGCGGCCTCGCCGCCTCTCACCTGCTGCAGCGCCGCCCGCCCGACCACGACTGCCCGCCCCCCACCAGCCCGAGCAGCCAATCGCAGCGCAGCCCTGCAGCAGCATCGCCGAGCCGCCCGGGCGACAGAGCAGCCGGACACCCGAGCAGCCGAGCCGCCCAGCAGCAGAGCCGCCGAAGCCGCCCGCAGCAGAGCCGCCGAGCCGCCGAGCCCCCGACCAGCCGAGCCGCCGAGCCGCCAAGCCGCCCTGCTTCCGGGCTGCCCGAGCTGCCCAGTCTGGTGAGCACAGCGCCTCTTTCACTGCACTGCCCTCACCCTACTATTTGCACTGCTAGTCTTCTGTGGTCATGGCTACCCCTAGTGTCCTCGCCTTTGACGCTGAGGGTCGGGCCCATTGATTTTGAGGTCTAGGTGGATGACCTGCAGCTGTTCTTACAATGCGATAGGGCAGACGGCCTCTCTCTCTTTGACCTCACCTCTGGCGCTTCTGTTGAGATAATGGAACAGGAATGGATGACAAGAAAATGAGTTGGGTACAAATATGGAACCCTAAACTGATGTACCCCCTATTGTGAACCCCACTACAGCCTAGACAGCAGCCTAAGCTATATATGTTTACACACCCCCATAAGCAAAGTGGGGGAGAACAAGGGGTCGAAAGACCAGTCCAGCAAAGCAAAGCAAAGCTCAGGGTGGATCACAAAGTCACCACACATTCCGAGCACAAGTTCAAGGCCACAAGGCCAGTTCACATGCAGGAGTACATATATATATAAGACTAGACAAGCAAGAGCAGGTATATATATATATATGTAACAGTACAAGCAAGGTCAAGAGGTGAGCAAGTGAGGCAAGACAGGGACAAGACCCAGCTGAGTGCAGAAGCGCTGATGATCACAAAGCGCAAGTGCCTTGGTGAAAACATCAGCAGTGTTGGCCTCAGAGCCACGTAAGCAAGCCGCAACTGTCCACGCTGCTGTAGCTCACGAGCAACAAGTAGCGAAGAGCAATGTGCTTTGTTCTATGCTCTAGTCTCTGCTCTTGACACAAGGCCAGCATGGCCTTGTTGTCTACGTACAGGACTGGAGGAGAACGAGGCGGCTCTTCAAGGTCGGTCAACAGGTAGGTGAGCCAGCGAAGCTCCTGGGCAACCATGGCCCCGGCGTAGATCTCAGCCTCACAACTGGAGCCGAGAACAGAAGACGAGCGAGTAGCCCGCCACGAACAGAGCCGGAGCCGGACCAAGACTGAGGTGTAACCCTGTGACGACCGCTGCGTAGCCTGGTCGTCAGCCCAAGAAGCGTCCGCGTGCCCAGTGAGGACCACTGGACTCCGCCCTCCAAGCACTAGCCCGTGCCCGACGTACTGCACAAGTAGCGCAACACCCTCTTCGCTGCAGCCATGTGCTCTGGTCGGTGTCTCCCAGGAGCAACATAGCGTGCAGAATGCTAAGAGGGTATGCAAGGTGAGGTCGTGTGCAGGTCATCAGGTACATGAGGCAGCCAACAAGCTCTGGATACGGGCCACTCGACTCTACGGACTCATCCGAAGGCAGAGCTGAGAGCGAGTGGCGAGTAGACAGAGGAGTGGCCTGAGGCGAGGAGTACGTGAAGCCGAAGCGCTGAAGGACCTGCTGCACCATGTGTGACTAAGTCAGGGTAATGGTGCGGCGTGCTCTGTCCCGGGTGATCTGCAAGCCAAGGTAGTTGCGCAGTTCATCCAGGTCAGTGCACCTGTGTCTCTTCTCTGCAGTTCGGACTTCACGTAGGCGAGTCTAGCAGTGTCAGTCTTGGCAAAGACCAAGTCGTCGACGTACACGAGGATGTAGAACGGTGGTAGAGAGGTGTCGGTGTGCAGAAACAGCGACGGGTCGGCAGTAGAAGGAGCAAACCCAAGAGCCGCAAGCGTAGTCCTCAGTGTGTCGTGCCACTCACGTGGGGCCTGGCGGAGACCGTAGACTGGACGCCGGAGGCTCCACTGGGTACCAGGAGGAGAAGACCCAGTGAAGCCAAGTGGGCGGCGCAGCCAGATCTCCTCGTGCAGGCTGCCCTGCAAGAAAGTTGTCCTGAAGTCGAGAGAGAGAGCTCGTAGTCACGGTGAGCAGCAACGTGTAGCAGTACACGAAGAGTGGTCATCTTCGGGGTGGGGGAGAAGCTCTGAAAGTAGTCAACTCCCTGCCGCTGACTGAAGCCACGAGCCACGTAACGCGCCTTGAAGATAGGCGGAAGAACTTGGCGGCCGCTTCACCCTGAAGATCCACATGCCACTGACGATGTTCGCCCCAGGAGGGGGGACAGCGTCAACGTAGGTGCCTGTGGACTTCCAGGAAGCCATCTCTGCATCCATAGCTGCCTGCCACTGAGAAGAGTAGGGACCCTCTATCGCCTCCACGTAAGAGCGCGGAGTCGGGATGTCAAGTGCATCCGGGTCTCCCTCAGGGTAAGCAGTACGGACACGAGATGAGGTGAAGCAGCTGCCAAGCAGTGGAACTCCTCCTAACCCGTCCTCAAGGACGTCCGTGCCAAGGGCACACTCACCCCCGACGGACAGAGGACAGACAGACTCAGACTCAGCGACAAGACTAGCAGTGTAGTCTAGACAACAGCAAGCAGCAAAGTCGTCAAGCTCAGCAACTAGGGCAGACGCAGCAGTGGACTCAAAGGAAGGGTCAGTGACGACAGTAGCAAGGAGACGCGTGTCAGTAGGACTGGCAGCACGAAGAGAGTCCGACTCCGGGTCGGCAAGAGCAGGAAGAGAAGACTCAAGAGGAGAAGGTAAAGGGGCACGCAGTGGAGCGGTGGACAGACGCAGAGACATCCGGTGCGTGCCAGGGATAGGAGGAGGACGCTGACCGCGAACTACGACCACTAGCGCGAGCAGCACGGATAGGTGACGCAGGGCGAGACGCAGGCTCACGACGCTCAGTAAGACCTCCAGTAGGACCAGCGTAGGGAGAAGGAGCAGGTAGGTATGGGGAGGCCGGCTGCAACGGTAACTGTGACGGGACAGGCTGTGGACACGCTAAGGGAGGAGGACCAGGAGGAGGCGAGAGACCAAGAACCTGCTGAAGGAGCGGTACGAAGTACGGCCGAGGCCGCGCGGCGACTCCAGACATAGCAGGGACAGCACCAGCACCCCCAGCGGGAGCACCAGTACCAGCAGCAGCTCCAACGCCCGGTCCGCAGCACCACCAGCAGCACCAGCGCCCGGGTCCGCAGTACCAGCAGCAGCTCCAACGCCCGGGTCCTCAGCACCAGCAGCACCTCCAACGCCCGGGTCCTCAGCACCAGCAGCAGCACCAGCGCCCGGGTCCACAGCACCAGCAGCAGCTCCAACGCCCGGGTCCTCAACAGCAGCAGCAGCACCAGCGCCCGGTCCGCAACACCAGTTGCAGCTCCAACGCCGCGGGTCGCAGTACAACCCCCAGCAGCAGCAGCGGGGCCCGCGACAGCAGGCGCACCACTCCGAAGAGTGCAGCGCAGCTCGTACCACTCACGGATCTTCTCACGGGAGGGGAGCTCCCGGCTAGGAGAAGAAGCACGAGCACCAGTCCCAGTAGTACGCCTGGCTCCAGAGGTACCGCTCCTGAGGTTGCAGTACTGTAAGTACCACACACGCAGCTGCTCCGAGGAGAGGGCTCCTCCAGGTGTAGGACCCTCAGGCTCAGGACCTCCAGACTCAGAACCCCCAGACTCCGGACTCTGCGGCTCAGCACCCCGAGGCTCAGTTCTCCCAGGCTCAGCACCCCCAGGCTCCGCACCCCCAGGCTCCGCACCCCCAGGCTCAGCACCCCCAGGCTCAGCATCCCGAGGCTCAGCACCCCAAGCTCAGCACCCCCAGGCTCCGCACCCCCGGGCTCCGCACCCCCAGGCTCCGCACCCCCAGGCTCCGCACCCGCAGCAGGACGAGAGTCGACAGCTACCTCAACAGGCTCAACCGGGTCTACCTGAGACACACCTGAGGGAGCGGCACCCTGAGGGGGGAGGGGGTCTACGACAGCAGCACCTGGCGCGAGGAAGAGAGGCGGGGGGGGGGAGCGGGGCAGTGCGGTAGGGGAAGAGGCGGTAGTAGGGGACGGACTCGTCAAAAGTGACGTCCTGAGAGGGCAAGACTCGGCGCGAGGTGGCGTGGTAAAACTGCCAACGAGGCGCGTCCGGGACAAAGCCGAGGAAGACGCAGGGAACAGCACGGGAGGAGAGCTTGTCCGCAGACGTATCGCGGACAAAAGCTCGAGATCCCCAGACCCGGAAACGCGACGCATCGCCAACCTCCCCCGTCCACAGCAGTGTGGGCGAGGTCTCTGGCAGGGAGACACGGGCCAGAGGTTGAGCTGATGCGCAGCGTACCGGACGGCAAACGACCACAGAAAGTGGGGGGCAGCCGCATGGATCAAGGAGGTATGGGCGACCTCCATGACCAGGCCAATGCGGCGCTCCGCAACCCCATTCTGCTGTGGAGAGGCCGGAAGCCTGAAAGACTGCTCAATGCCGTGCTCAGCACAGTAGGCTTCCAAGAGGTCAGAGGGAACTCACCATCTCTGTCAGAGTGCAAGCGCAGGACAGGAAAGTCCGAGTGGAAACGCTCGCTGAGCTGGAGACGGGCTCTGCGGATCCAAGGGATCAAGACATCAGGGACCTCACCCTTGGTGCGCAAGGGGAAGACCGTGGTGTAGCGCGAGTAGTCGTCAACAACTATCAGGAAGTACCTCTCCTGACCCTGACCACGGACGCGGGCTGGGCCCACACGTCCATGTGGAGCGTCTGCAAGGGAGCAGTCGTCGGGGGAAACGAGGAGGAGTGAGGAGCGGCGCGCTGCCGCCCCTCGACACAGGGAAGTCAGGGAGGAGCAAGGGAGGGTGGGAGGGGAGGGAGGACCCTGAGAAGACCAGAGACAAGGTACCAGGAGTGCATGGCACGAAGGCGCTGCACAGACGGGTGGCCAAGTCGGTGGTGCTTGAGGACAGTCTCGTGCGCCAGAGAGCGACACGAGCAGGGGGCGGACAGCTGACGTGACGCGGACGCAAACGCAGACGCAGCGACCTAAGGGGACGTGGTAGTCAGTGTGTACAGGTCCGACCCTGGCTGCCGGGTGAAGGTAGCCAAGTGGCGGCCCGTACGAGCACACGTGCAGTGTGTCACACGCTCGTAGGCAGGGGTGAACTGGTGAACACCCCCGTCCTGGAGCGCACAACCTGCCACCAAGTTCGTAGAGAACGAGGGGAGGTGGAGACCTGACAGTGTGCCCGACGGGACCGCAGGACAGGGAAGAACAGTGGAGGAGGTCGCAATGACCGGACCCCCAGAGGGGTCAGCGAGGGAGACAGCAACCGGCCGAGCAAGCGGCTCAAGGGCAGTGCGGTCACGAAAGAAGCAGCGAGAAGCACCTGAGTCCAGTGTGAAGGTGTGCAGTGCTGCCGTCGACTCAGTACCGGGGGGGGCAGACGCACAAGCACCTAGAGCAGCTGCCTCACCAGCACCTGGGGTAGCAGACAACGCAAGTACCTGGAGCGGTAGACGCACTAGTCCTAATTGCTCGGGGTCGGGCAGGACACACAAGTACTCAGCACCTTCTCACTAGTAGACATCACATACATAGCAGTGAGAATAGCATCAAAGTCTAGAGCATAGATATCAACCCCCTTCTTCAGGAGATCAACCCAGCGGGGCAGCTCAGTGGCCTGAGGGAACTGAACACGCCAAGCGTCGTTCAGACGAGCGAAGCAGCGCTGTGTGGCGTTGTGGTCCCCCACACGGCTGACCAGTGCGGTTCACCAGTGCGAATGACGTATGTGCAGCTAAAGCCACCCCCCCCCCCCCCCCCCCCCCCGTGCTGAGAGTACCACTCACGGACCTCCTGGGGCGACGGAGTGTGCTGCTGGCCCTGACCTCCTCGACCACCCAACCTCTGCCGCCGCCCGCGTCCACCGCCACCCCCACCACCGCCTCCGCCCCGGCCACCTCCCCCGCTGCTGCCGCCACCACCCCCACCACCGCCACCTCCCCCACCACCGCCTCCCCCGCTGTCACCGCCGCCGCCCTTGCCCTCTTTGCCCTTGCCGCTACGGCGCCCACTCGAAGCAGACGCAGTCCCGACCTTCTCAGCACCAAGGAGGTCGACAGCAGCAGCAGAGGCGACAGAGGGAAGAAGGGGGAAGGAGAACACCCCTCAAAGAACGGGGTACGGGGGTCGCCACGAGAGGCACCTACAGCGACTATGCGAGCCTCAGCTGCAAGGAGTTCCTTCTCGAGGAGGTTAATGGTGAGCTCAGTGGGGCAGCGAGCTAGAAAGTGGTCCCTGACTGAACGAAGCGTGTCAGGGAGGCGCGTGACTAGGTGGTAGAGAGTGAGCCAGAGTGGGGGGGGGTGCGTGGCAAGGAACTCAGCGGGCATGGCGGCACGGAAGCGGGCCTCACTAGTACGGAGGTGCGTGATGAGGTCAGCGACTGTGTGGAACGAGGCCAGGTCGGGAAACAGGTAGGGGAGGGAGAGACGGCCTAGCGTGGCAGAGGCAGGTGAGGAGTAGCGAGCAATGACTGCTGTGTACAGTGCCTGTGCAGTCTTGTGCTGGCCACAGTGCTCGCGTTCGTCTATCGGCAGGGAGTTGCGAATAGCGAAGCGAGCGTGGGCATCACGAGTCTGCCACTGTGAGCGAGCAGTGCTGTCAGCAGTAGCAGCAGGGGCAGTGACATGGCCTAGGGCGTGGTCGTACAGTGAGATGTCGTCCTTGGCAGTGAGCTGTAGATAGAGATACAGGTCATCGAGCCAGGTATCGAACTTCACTGGGCGGCCCTCAGCATCGAAAGCTAGCACAGGAGGGCTAGCCATAGCAGCAGTCGAGTAGCAGGTGTGCGGGAAGCGTGCACAAGTGTGCGGGAAGTGTGCACAAGTGTGCGGGGCCTACGGGGCCGTTTGGGGCCTTTAGGGAGGTAAGCGCGGGGCCGTAAAGGGGCCTCTAGGGGCCGACGGGGCCGTTCAGGGCCTTTAGGGAGGTGAGCGTGGGGCCGACGGGGCCGTTCGAGGTCTCTAGAGAGGTGAGCGCGGGGCCGACGGGGCCTCTAGGGAGGTAAGCGAGGGGCCGACGGGGCCGTTAGGGGCGATCGCGGGGCCGAAAGGGGCCGCTAGGGGCGATGCGCGTGGGCGGTTCGGGGCCGCTAGGGGCGGGCCGATGGGGCCTTAGAGGGCCGTAAAAACCGAGTCGCCCTAGGGCGAAGGTAGGTAGGTAGTTAGGTAGGTAGTGGTGGGCCCAAAAAAAAATCGGTCCTAGGAAGGACCTGCTCTATACCATGTTGAGATAATGGAACAGGAATGGATGACTGGAGAAATGAGTTGGGTACAAATATGGAACCCTAAACTAATGTACCCCCCTATTGTGAACCCCACTACAGCCTAGACAGCAGCCTAAGCTATATATGTTTGACAGCTTCCCCTGCCCCTGCTGGTGATGCTGACGCCACTGTTCGTTCCCAGTGGGCCACGCGGGACGCTGCTGCACGTCTTGCTGTGCGTCGCCACCTCCCTACCCTCCGAGCGTGTGCACTTTAGTCAGTACAAGAGTGCTCAGACCTTGTACGACGCTGTAGTTGCACGCTACTCCTCCCCTGCCACTGCTGCACTGAGCCGTCTCATGCTACTGTACCTCTTCCCTGACCTTCCTGCCTTTCCCACAGTCGCTGACCTCATTACGCACCTCCGCACTAGTGACACTCGCTACCGCGCTGCGCTTCTTGCTGACTTCTGCGCCAAGAACCCCCCCCCCCATGTACATCACTCTCTACTACATAATCACTCGCCTCCCTGACTCCCTTCGCGTAGTCAGGGACCACTTCCTCTCAGTCTGTCCCACCACTCTCACTGTTGACCTCCTCGAGAAGTCCCTCCTAGCGGCCGAGAAGAGCATAGTCGCTGTAGGGGCCTCTCGTGGTGACCCGCGCACCCCCATCTTTGAGGGGTGTTCCCCCTCCCCCCTTCTGCCCTCTGTTGCCTCTGCTGTTGCGGCCGACCTCCTTGTTCTTGAGTCGGTCGGTGCGGCGTCTGCCCCTAGCGAGAGACGCCGCTCTGGCAAGGGCAAGGGGGGCAGGGGCACTTGAGGAGCTAGCGGGGGCGGTGGAGGTGGAGGTGGAGGCGGCGGGGGGAGTGGGGGTGGCGGTGGGAGTGGTGGTGGGGGTGGAGGTGCTGGTGGCGCTAGTGGGGGCGGAGGCGGCGGCGGCGGTGGCGGTGGGAGCGGAGGTGGCGGAGGTGGCGGCGGTGGAGGAGGCGGCGGAGGCGGCGGTAGTGGCGGAGGCGGCGGGGGTGGCAGTGGAGCTGGTCGCGGGTCTACACAGAGGAGTGGCTCCGGTGGTGGTCCGCGCCAGCAGCAGCAGCGCGCCCGTGAGACCCTGTCCCCTGAGCAGCTCCGTGAGTGGTACACTGCACGCCAGCGGGGTGGGGGTTTCGGTCCGTGCACCTACGTCCTGCGCACCGGCGACCGTGCGGGTGAGCAGTGTGGGGGTGCGGACCCCACCCAGCGCTGCTTTGGCCGACTGACGGACGCGTGGCGTCACCAGTTCCCGGAGGCCACAGAGATCCCTCGCTGGGGCGAGCTGTCTAGGGCGGGTGTTGCCATCTATGATCTTGATTTTGATGCTATTCTTTCTGCCATGTATGCTGTGTCTATTAGTGGTGAGGGTGACAGTTACCGGTGTTTCCCGCCCGATCTGGGCATTGAGACTGCTGCTCTAGGTACTGGTGAGGCGGCTGCCCTAGGTGGTTGCGACGCTGCTGCTCTAGGTGCTAGTGCGTCTGCGTCCTCAGGTACTAGTGAGTCGGCGCTCTCAGGTACTACGTCGGCTTCAGCCTCCCTCACCTTCACCCTTGACTCTGGGGCCTCTCGCTCCTTCTTTCGGGACTGCACCACACTCACGCCGCTTAGTCGGCCGGTTGCGGTGTCTCTCGCTGTCCCCTCTGGGGGTCCTGTCCTGTCTCACTTCTCCACAGTCCTCCCGTGTCCGGCGGCTCCCTCTGGCACCCTCTCTGGTCTCTACCTCCCCTCGTTCTCTACTAACCTGGTGAGTGGTGCTGACCTACAGGATGGGGGAGTACACCAGTTCACTCCTGTGCGTCAGCGGGTGACGCACTACACAGAGACTAGCACAGGCCGACACCTGGCTACGTTTACCCGTCAGCCGGGGTCGAGCCTGTACACACTGACCACTCCGTCTCCTCCAGTCGCTGAGTCTGGTCGGGTAGCTGTGTCAGGTCAGGTGTTTGCTGCATCGTCTAGGTCTGGTCCTGAGTCTGCCCCCTGTTCGTGTCCTCTCCTGTCTCACGAGACTCTCCTCTGGCACCACCGCCTTGGTCACCCCTCTCTGCTTCCGCTCAGAGGCATGGCCTCCCGTCTTCTTGTTTCTGGTCTCCCCCGGTCCCTCCCTCCCCTTCCTCAGGGCCCTGGCCCTACCTGTGTCCCTTGTGTCGAGGGGCGCCAGCGTGCTGCCCCTCACTCCTCCCAGTTTCCTCCGACAGAGGCCCCGTTGCAGACACCTCACATAGACGTGTGGGGCCCAGCCCGCGTCCGTGGACACGGTCACGAGCGCTACTTCCTGCTCGTTGTTGACGACTACTCTCGTTACACCGCAGTCTTCCCCTTGCGCAGCAAAGGTGATGTCACTGAGGTGCTGATCGACTGGATCCACGCAGCTCGTCTCCAGCTCAGGCAGAGCTTTGGCTCGGACTTTCCTGTTCTGCGTCTGCACTCGGACAGAGGCGGAGAGTTTTCTTCTGGCCTTCTGAGAGCCTACTGACGCGCACGAGGGATCCGTCAGACCTTCACGCTTCCGGACTCCCCGCAGCAAAATGGGATTGCTGAGCGCCGCATTGGCATGGTCATGGACGTCGCTCTTACGTCTATGATGCATGCGGCTGCTCCCCATTTTCAGTGGCCGCTTGCGGTGAGGTACGCGGCGCATCAGATCAACCTCCACCCCAGAGTCTCCAGGCCGGAGACCTCCCCAGCCTTGCTGTGGACGGGGAAGGTTGGCGATGCGTCGGCGTTCCGGGTCTGGGGATCTCGGGCGTTTGTCCGCGACTTGTCTGCGGACAAGCTGTCCCCGCGTGCTGCTCCTTGCGTCTTCTTGGGATTCCCCCCTGACGCGCCTGGGTGGCAGTTCTACCACCCCACCTCTCGCCGTGTTCTGTCCTCCCAGGACATCACGTTTGACGAGTCGGTCCCCTACTACCGCCTCTTCCCCTACCGCACTCCGTCCCTCCCCCCGCAGCCGCTCTTCATTGTACCAAGTCCCCCTCCGGTAGACCCCCTCCCCCCCTCAGGGTCCGTTCCCTTCAGATGTGTCTGAGGTAGACGCAGTCGAGCCTGTCGAGGTCACTGGTGACTCTGGTGCTGCTGAGGGTGCTGAGCCTGGGGGTGCTGACTCTGGGGGTGCTGAGCCTGCGGGTGCTGAGCGTGGGGGTGCTGAGACTGCGGGTGCTGAGCCTGGGGGTGCTGAGACTGGGGGTGCTGAGCCTGGGGGTGCTGAGACAGGGGGTGCTGAGCCTGGGGGTGCTGAGCCTTGGGGTGCTGAGCCTGGGGGTGCTGAGCCTGGGTGTGCTGAGCCTGGGGGTGCTGAGCTTGAAGGTGCTCCGCATGGAGGTTCTCCGGGTGCTTCGTCCCTGCGGGAGCCACTCTCTCCACAGGAGCTGCGCGAGTGGTTTGCCCGGCGCTGGAGGCGTGCTGCTGGTGCTGGAGGTTCTTTGGCTACTGAGGGTGCTGCTGTCGCGGGTCCCGGAGGTGCTCGTACCGGGAGTACTGGAGCTGCTGGGCCTGCGGGTGCGTTTGGAGCTGGTGCTGCTGAGGGTGTTGGGGCTGAGACTACTGATGGTGGTCCTGCTGCGGGTACTCCTGGTGCTGCTGAGGGTTCTGGCGCTGCTGGTGGTGCAGCTAGAGCGGGTGCTCCTGCTGGGGGTACTGGTGCTGTACCTGCTGTGTCTGGCGTCGCCGTGCGGCCTCGACCGTACTTCGTTCCACTCCTACAGCAGGTTCTTGGTCTTCCGCCTTCTACTTGTCCTCCTCCTCCTTTAAAGTGTCCACAGCCAGTCCCGTCACAGTTACAGCTGCAGCCTACCTCCCCTTTGCCTGCTCCTTCTCCCTACACTGGTCCTACTCGAGGTCTTACTGAGCGTCGTGAGCCTGCGTCTCGCCCTACGTCGCCTGTCCGTGCTGCTCACGCTAGTGGTCGTGGTTCACGTCAGCGTCCTCCTCCTGTCCCTGGCACGCACATGATGTCTCTGCGTCCGTCCACTGCACCTCTGCGTGCCCCTTTGCCTTCTCCTCCTGAGTCCTCTCTTCCTTGTTTTGGCCGACTCAGAGTCGGACTCTCTTCGTGCTGCCAGTCCTACTGTCACACGTCTCCTGGCTTCTGTCGTCACTGACCCTTCTTTCGAGTCCACTGCTGCGTCTGCCCTAGTTGCTGAGCTCGTCGACTTTGCTGCTCGCTGTCGCCTAGACTACGCTGCTAGTCTTGTCGCAGAGTCTGAGTCTGTCTGTCCTCCGTCCGTCGGGGGTGAGTGTGCCCTTGGCACGGACGTCCTTGAGGACAGGCAGGAGGAGTTCCAGTGCTTGGCCGCTGCTTCACCTCATCTCGTGTCCGTACTGCTTACCCCTGAGGGAGACCCGGATGCACTTGACATCCCTACTCCGCGCTCTTACGCGGAGGCGATAGAGGGTCCCTACTCCTCTCAGTGGTTGGCAGCTATGGATGCAGAGATGGCTTCCTGGAAGTCCACAGGCACCTACGTTGACGCTGTCCCCCCTCCTGGGGCGAACATCGTCAGTGGCATGTGGATCTTCAGGGTGAAGCGGCCGCCAAGTTCTCCGCCTGTCTTCAAGGCGCGTTACGTGGCTCGTGGCTTCAGTCAGCGGCAAGGAGTTGACTACTTTCACACCTTCTCCCCCACCCCGAAGATGACCACTATTTGGGTACTGCTGTACATTGCTGCTCACCATGACTACGAGCTGCACTCTCTCGACTTCAGCATAGCTTTCTTGCAGGGCAGCCTGCACGAGGAGATCTGGCTGCGCCGCCCACCTGGCTTCACTGGGTCTTTCCCTCCTGGTACCCAGTGGAGTCTCCGGCGTCCAGTCTACGGTCTCCGCTAGGCGCCACGTGAGTGGCACGACACACTGAGGACTACGCTTGCGGCTCTTGGGTTTGCTCCTTCTACTGCCGACCCGTCGCTGTTTCTGCGCACCGACACCTCTCTGCCGCCGTTCTACATCCTTGTGTACGTCGACGACTTGGTCTTTGCCACAGCTGACACTGCTGGACTCGCCTACGTGAAGTCTGAGCTGCAGAAGAGACACACGTGCACTGACCTGGGTGAACTGCGCAGCTACCTTGGCTTGCAGATCACCCGGGACAGAGCACGCCGCACCATTACCCTGACTCAGTCACACATGGTGCAGCAGGTCCTTCAGCGCTTCGGCTTCACGTACTCCTCGCCTCAGGCCACTCCTCTGCCTACTCGCCACTCGCTCTTAGCTCTGCCTTCGGATGAGTCCGTAGAGTCGAGTGGCCCGTATCCAGAGCTTGTTGGCTGCCTCATGTACCTGATGACCTGCAAACGACCTGACCTTGCATACCCTCTTAGCATTCTCGCACGCTATGTTGCTCCTGGGAGACACCGACCAGAGCACATGGCTGCAGCGAAGAGGGTGTTGCGCTACTTGTGCAGTACGTCGGGCATGGGGCTAGTGCTTGGAGGGTGGAGTCCAGTGGTCCTCAATGGTCACGCAGACGCTTCTTGGGCTGACGACCAGGCTACGCAGCGGTCGTCACAGGGTTACACCTTCAGCCTTGGTTCCGGTTCTGTTTCATGGTGGGCTACTCGCTCGTCTTCTGTTCTCGGCTCCAGTTGTGAGGCTGAGATCTACGCAGGGGCCATGGCTGCTCAGGAGCTTTGCTGGCTCACCTACCTGCTGACCGACCTTGGAGAGCCGCCTCGTTCTCCTCCAGTCCTGTACGTAGACAACAAGGCCATGCTGGCCTTGTGTCGAGAGCAGAGACTGGAGCACAGAACAAAGCACATTGCTCTTCGCTACTTCCTTGCTTGTGAGCTACAGCAGCGTGGACAGTTGCGGCTTGTGTACGTGGCCTCTGAGGCCAACACTGCTGATGTCTTCACCAAGGCACTTGCGCCTTGTGATCATCAGCGCTACAGCACGCAGCTAGGTCTTGTGCCTGTCTTGCCTCACTTGCTCACCTCTTGACCTTGCTTGTACTGTTGCATATATATATACCTGCTCTTGCTTGTCTAGTCTTATATATATATGTACTCCTGCATGTGAACTGGCCTTGTGGCCTTGCACTTGTGCTCAGAATGTGTGGTGACTTTGTGATCCATCCTGAGCTTGCTTTGCTTTGCTTTGCTTGACTGGTCTTGTGACCCCTTGTTCTCCCCCACTTTGCCTATGGGGGTGTGTCAGAACATATAGCTTATGCATATTGTGTAGGCTATAGTGGAGTAGCCCATAAGGGGTACAACCCAATTAAGGTTAGTACTTGTACTCAGTTCATTCATAGTTCATTCATTCTCGTTCATACTTTCTCACCTTTCTCGTGCTCATACGATGAGCATTGTGCTTTCTGGTTCATTTTCAGGCTCTCCATTATCTCCGTGTGGAACTACAAGTTT